CATGGGATTCATCACAGGGTTGAGTGGAAGGTAGGTTTTTCTCTAAAAGGGAAAAACAAACATTTTAAGAACATGTTTAAAGTTTCTGTTCTGCCGGAAGGGATTAATGCCTAGGAACTTTCTTCTTTTCCCCTCCGGCGGCGTCTTCTCTTTGAAGCATCAGATACTTGCTTCTTGTCCCCTTCTGTTCGACCTGGATTCTTGGGGACAAAAGGTTTCACCCCACTTCTGGGGAATCCACCGAGGCCTGAGGGAGTAGCTACACATGCATAGCCCGACCCCAGGTTACAAGTCCATAGGGACCCTTGGTTCCCAAGTTTCTGGATCCCTAATTAAGACCGGTGGATGCTGAGACAATTTAAACTGCTTGCCACTGTTAAAGTGACGCACAACCGGTGGACGCATATTTTCAAATGAACAATTCAGAAAATTGATTAGTAAACATAGCTTTACAGAGCTTTTCTCGTGGAGACATCCATGGAGCTGAGCTGTTTTGTTTTTTCAATACCTGCTTGAGCGTCTGATGTGCACGCTCGACTACAGCTTGACCTGTGGGGGAGTGGGCAATGCCAGTTTCATGTTCCACTCCCCAGTGTTGGAGAAATTCCAGGAACTCCTTGGATACATACGCTGGGCCCATTATCTGTTTTGATCGTTTTTGGCACTCCCAATACTGAAAATGCTTGCACTAGGTGTTGTTTGACATGTGCAGCCTTTTGTCCTATATGGGCAGAGGCATACACTGCACCTGAGATGTGTCCACGCTTACATGAACGCATTCAAGGCGACCAAAACTCTGAATGTGTGTGATGTCTGTCTGCCATACCTCACAGCTGCCAAGGCCTCTGGGGTTTACCCCCATGCCCAGCGATGGCACAGCCTGGAGCTGACAATTAGGACTGTTGGTTACAATGGCTCGGGCCTGACTCCGTGTTAGCTGGAACTGTCGAATCAAACCTGGCACGTTCTGGTGGTAATGCTTGTGACTCAGCTTTGCCTATTGGAAAACATCAGGGAGACTTGCCCTTTTCGACTGGTGCAGCAAAGGAGTCTGCTCTTCGGTTCCCCTCTGCAATCTCACTTGGCAAATCAGTGTGTGACCTCACATGCATCACAAAGAAATGGATGTTCTCGGTGCGAGATTAAATAAATTAGCCTTGAGAGTAACCTGAAGAGATGTTCATTTTCTATTTCTCTGAGCACAGCCTGCTCCGCCCTGGACACTATACCCTGCCACATAGGCAGAGTCTGTCACCAAGTTGATTGGCTCGGAAAACTCTCAAAAGCTCTCACCACTGCAGCCAGTTCTGCCATCTGGGGGGATCCCTCCACAAGCTCAACATCAGCTTCCCAATGATGAGTCTGTGGATTTCTCCAAGTCATCACCGACTTGTGGGAAGCCCCAGAGGCATCAGTGGAACACTGTGAGAGCCCTGAGCGCCCTCCGGCTCCTTTTCTCCTGAGGAATCAGGTGGAATTCCTCATTGAACAACTTGTGAGACGGGGCATGGACTGATATTTGTCCCCTATAGCTGTCCAGAGATAGCTGGAGACTGGCACTGCTCTGGAGCAAATGCTCAAACATCCCTTTGGTCAGTCTCTCAGGAGAGTTCCTTCCCTCCTCAGAAAGCCTGACTGGAAGGTGACACCCTGCTAATTCGCACAACCTCACCCTGGCCTTCTGAATCAGCTTTGCTATCAGCTCTTGTGGCCTAGTGATGGGTTTTGGATCTTTGGAGCGATAGGAAACCCATTCTGTGATTAAGAGTGGATCCTTCTGCCCCTCGGTCCATTGGAAAATCAACCCATGCAGGTGTGGCAGCTTTCCTAGAACAATGAACTGGAAAGGCAGATTTGGGTCACACCTGTTTGCCTGCCTTTCTGACAAGGCCTTCTGTACCTTTTTGATTGCTGTCTTTGCCTCCGGAGTCAGTTCCCTGGGGGAGGTCAGCTCCCTCTCCCCCTTCAATAAATTGAAAAGAGGTTCCAGATCTTCATTTCCTGAGGCCTAGCCAGGGCCTTACCCAATTTAAAGACCCACACAGCGAGTGGAGGTCTGCTAGTGTTCTGGGGTTGCAATTTTATCTCCAATTTTCTGTGGGAAAATAGTCCTTGCAGAAATTTTCCAGGCCCCAGGTATCTCCAAGGTGGCATTCTTTGAACTTTGTCTTCCTGCAATTTGAATCCAGCAGAGGTTAAAAACTTTACCACTAGGTCAAGCGTGTATTGGAGTATAGAGTCATTGGGAGCACACACAAGCACGTCATCCATATAGTGTAGGATGATGGCATCCTTTCTCTCTGCACATACTGGAGACAGTAGTGCTGCTACATACTGTTGGCATATGAAAGGGCTGGATTTTAAACCTTGGGGCAAAACTTTCCAGTGGTAGTGTTTCATCGGGGCTTCTCGATTGACAGTGGGAACTGAGAATGCAAACCTTGGTGCATCTTCAGGGTGCAATGGAATTTGGAAGAAACAGTCCTTTATATCTAACACAGCCAATTTCCAGTCCTGGGGAAGCATAGCTGGACTCGGCATCCCTGGCTGGAGAGGTCCCATGTCCTCCACAATTCTGCTTATCTCTCTGAGATCGTGGAGCAATCTCCATTTGTCCTTCCCAGGCTTTTTTATTACAAAGACTGGGAAATTCCAAGGGCTGTCTGTTTCTTGCAGGTGTCCTTGAGCTACCTGCTCCTCCACAAGTTTTTCAAGCGCCTCAAGTTTTTCTCTACTCAAAGGCCACTGTGCTACCCACTTTGGGGTCTTATCCAACCACTTTAACTTGTGGGCATGGCGCTCCACAACGGCTACTTCCGAAATCCTGGGGTGTCTTAGGAATGATTAATTGGACTCCCCACTGGGACATGGTGTCTCTCCCCCACAAAGGAGCCTTATAATCTGCTGCAAACTGGCGAACACTTGCCGATTTCCCGTCAGGTCCCTCAATTTGTACTACATTTTTAGAAATTTTTGCCAATGTAGTTCCTCCTATACCCTGAAGTTTGCCTGCCACAGGTTGCAACTCCCAGTGTGATGGCCACATGGTTTTTGGGTATCACCGTGATGTCTGCACCTGTGTCCAGAACATCTTCCACCTGAAGGTGCTCTGACCCATGTGCTAGGTTGCATGCCATGGAGGGTTTATCCTCTCCTACTACTTCTGCCCAGTAGACTTCTGGAGATTTTCCTTCTACTGTGATTTCTACTGGGATGGGAATGGCTTGTGCCAGAATTTGCCCCTTTTCTAGATAGAATGGAGGGTGCAAGCAACCTGCCAACAGCATAAGGCTGGATATTTTTTCCCTTAGTAGTCATGGGAACTATTTCGATCTCTGGAGGTGTGTATGCTGTGTCCCCAGTAACAAAATACTCACTGTCCAGTTCCATATCGTACGCCTGCAGGTCTTGTGGGCTTTTTGATAGGTGCACTACAATGACTTTCCAATCAGTGGTTCTGAAATGAAATCCTTTGGCAGTCACTAGACGTGGCCGGCCTAGTGGCTGCCAAACCTTGTTAGTAATACATTTCACATTTTTGTTTTTCTCTCTCCCCCCACCAAGGTTCCCACCCTCCCCCTTATTTGTTAAGAGAGAGGCATTGTCACATATTGGTCCCGCTACATTTATATCTTTGCGCATAGTGGTGGGCACGCGCTGTGCATTTAGTTTTTTTGTTTGTTGATCTGTCTCTGGTTCTGGTTTTGAGGACAGTTTCTGGCGAAGTGTCCTGGTTTCTTGCAATGCAGGCAGATGATGTGCTGCAGGTGCTGTGATGATCTGGGTGGCTTCCTTGGGGTTGATGCAGCAGGCTGTATTTCTGCAGATGCTTTATGACTGACAGGATTATCAAGCAGCTCTGCTCTCTTGGCACATGCTTTGATCATTTGGGCAAGACTGGGTGCTGGATCAAGAGGAAGGCTGAGAAGAATCCTACGACAGGTCTCGTTGGCATTCCTCTGAGCCATTTCTTTAATCAACTCTGTTTGCACACTGGTGTGTTGCACCTGTTTTTCAACTTGGCTTCTCAAACGATCCACAAACTGTAAAAAACTCTCAGAAGGAAACTGTTTGATGTTAATATAGCTGCATTTAACCTCAGTTCCTGGTAATTGATACAGAGTCTTTTCTGCAGCAATACAGATTTTTTCCAAAACCGATCTAGATAACAGTCTGGTTTGTTTTTCTGGACATTGTATGTCCCCTGTACCACATAAATGATGTATTGTAAGGGGCTGGCCATCCGCGTCAGTGGCCTCGTTGGGTGTATGCTGTATTTCTTGCAAAACTGTTTCCAAAGCCAATTTCCACTTATTTTCCCATATTTCATATTCAGAGGATGTTAGTAAACATTTAAACAAATCAGTTATATCTTTCGGTACCATTTCATTTGAATTGAAGGTTGCCCTAATCATACCTTTAAAAATCTCACTAGACCTCCCAAATTCTCTCTGAACTTTACAGATTTCTGTTTTGTCCCTGTATGGGAGAGGTTGGTATGTTCTTGTACCATTTCTTCTCCCTAAAAAAACCACTGGAGCTACAGATGGTATAGATTCCTTGGTAGAGGCAGGCTTGTGTCCCTCCCGCGCCCCCCCCACCCCGGTGAGGGGCAGCTCGCCCTACCCCCCTCGGGCTGCCTGCTCCGCGGTGGAGACTCGGTCCCCGCCCCGGCTCTGAGCCGCTGGGCTGCCGTGCCCTGCCCCCGCCCTGCTGTGAGCCGCTGGGCTGCCGTCCTCTGCCCCCGCCCTGCTCTGAGCCGCTGGGCTGCCGTCCCCTGCCCCCGCCCTGCCGTCCTTGGCGCTGGGGCTCGGAGGAGGGCAGGGGCCGGCCCCGCCCCTGTTCCTGGGGCAACACGGGGGCTGGCACTGATAAGGAGGGTGGGGTGGTGCCAAGGGAGATAAGGAGGCATCGGAGGAGGGGAGGGAGGAGGGGATGGGGGCGGAGGGGGAGGCGGAGGGCGGGGGAAGCAAAGGAATGTGAGTGGGAGGGGGAGTGGGGGGTGGAACGGCCAGCGCCGGTGGAAGCACATGGCCACCACCATGATCTGGCCGCGTGTGGTCCAGAGACACTGCAGTGCTCCCTGACATGAACTCCAGACTATATTTCTCGGAAGAACAAGGTGTCAGAGGGGAATAAGGGGTGGGTGAGGGGTTTTCAGGGCTGGGATATTGAGGAGGTGGGTAGGAAGGGGAAAAGGGAGTAGTAGAACTGTGGGTCTGAGTTTGTGTGCTCTTTTCTGCTTCTAAAATCTTTTTGCGTGCTTGTAAAAATATCGGAATAAATCGAGAAACTTTATGTTCACCATTTTCGACTTTTAAAGTTAATATCTGTCCAATTTGATTCCAAAACGCAAGCGAATTCAGTTCTTGCACAGTAAAATTTGGTATTTCTGCTTTTAGCCAGCACACAAAACGCAGGAGAAGCTTGTTAGGGAATGATACATCGTTTAAATTATTGCTAAGATGTGTTAGTATACTCTTTTGTTCAAGTGACAGGTTAGTACCCATGATCTTAATTCTATCACTGGTCTACTCTCCACCAGAGCTAATAACACAGCACGAATTATTCGAATTTCCCTCTGTGGAAAACCCGAGCGGGGGGGGCACAGGGGGAGGGGCGCTCGTCCCGCAGCTGCCGGGGCGGCTTCAGCCCGCTCCTCCCGTGTCTATTCCCCCTGGAACGTGGGTATGCGCAGCCCACCGGTTCCACGCTGACTTGCAGAGGGTCCCTGGCACCCCCCTCGCAAGCAGCCCCCCTCAGTCACTTATGGTAACTCCTCCCAGCCAGGCGCGGTCCCGGGTTCCGCGATCGGAGAACTTACCAAGCCTGTGCACTGCAGGGTTCGTCTGTGAAAACCTCTGGGGATTCCCTCTCCAGTCAGCTCTTCCTGGGGTACTCAGGCAGAGGTCCCCGACTGTCCCTGTGACTCAAAGCTGTTAAAGGCAGCTAGAGTACCAGGGCAGTTGACTGTCGTAAAAGCTTTTGACTTCCCTCTGGAATAGGGGGTCCAGCTTCTTTGTGGGCTCAGAGCAGCACACGTTGGGGCGCCAACTGTTATTTCTATGGTTTTCCCCCTCTCCACGCAGCCCCCTCTAGGATCCGACCAGCTCAGAGATATGGGGCTGTGAGGGGAGGAAATACCAGGAGAGGGAAAAGTATTCAAAAGAGGCCCTTACCCCAGGGAAGTTGGAACAGCTCTCTTTATTCTGTGGTGTCCATGGGAGAGCGGGGCAAAAGAGAAAGAGCAGGAAGTTTCAGGGGTCTATATAGGTTTTGGACAGGGTGGGCTCTCCTGGCTCCCTGCCAACCCCGTTGGGGCAGGGAGGAGGATCCAGGGGTTATCATGATCAGAGCCACAGAGGCCCTAGGAAAGGGGGGACAAAAGGGTGTCTAGGAGCTCACCGTAACATTACCCTTCTCTCATAAAGCAATCTTCAAGAGTTTTTACAGAGTTTGCTTCAATAGTTGCTTCCTAACTTTGTGTTGTAACAACTACTCTGTTAATAAAGAAATCAAGAATATCTGTGCCCACAGTGAAATTTCTAAATACTACTGTAATGCTAGAAACCCTGGCAAATTAAAAACAGCATTTATAAATTTTTAAGGCAGGTGGATTAGACTTTATAAACAGAAAGGTAATTTAATGGACAAATGCCCTGTGTAAAGTATCACAGAAAACAGAACTACCCTGTTTTACTCACATGACCCGTAAACAATTGTGATGTTCAAAGACACACAAAATTCAGATACACCATGCCTACTAGAACTCAGTGGAAACTAATTCAATCTTTGGTTATATCTTTGAAATTTCTCTTTTAACTTTTGGTTCAACAGTGTCATTTTTCTTTTAAATTTAGCTCAAGGCATTTTATTTCTCCTAATTTTAATAAGTGAATTACCTGCCTATGCAGAAACCAAATGATGACATCTCAAGAGCTAGTAGCCAATACAGTTAAGCTTGTTATGATATTGATATGCTTAAATATTTCTGAACTGTTTGAAATGAGATGGGGTTGAACTGTCAGCCTGTTATATGGAAAATACAAAATCTGCTCTTTTCAGCTTAAAGAGACTACAATAGCCAGTCAGTCTCTTCTTAAAGGCACTGTTTGCCAATATCAAGAGATACCTTCTGAAAATCAGTTGTGCAAGTGTTCTGAACAACAGAAAATGTTACTGATTCCATGTATATCTATGCCCCAAATTGTTACTGTCTCTTCAAGACCCTGTTGGCCACAGATGGAACTGTGGGGCCAGGTTATTGCTGGGTGCTTTTGAAAGTCAGGGTTGCTCATGAGACACTCTTTTGCCTTCTGGCTCCTGCTCTTTCCCTTTCATTCTTGCCTGCAGAGAACAGAAGCAGTGCAAGTGGAGGCTCTCCTTTTATTTTCTTTCATTTTTATTCTCTCGGGGGCTGCTTGGTGAAGGTCTCCCATGAGGCAACAGTACCAACACACAAAGCTGTCTTTGACAATCAAAATCTGTTTCAGAGTGAATTTCTCAACACCTGGGGACAGCATAGGGCCAAGTACCTGTCAGGGCCAGGCTGTGCTGTTTTCAGTGTTTGGGGAGACTGGTTCTTTCCCCCAGCACACCAACGGCTCACGAACAGCTGCACTGGCACCCAGTGAACTGGAGGCTGACTCTGCAGGGCCAAAGCTCCCCAGACAATGCCAGAAATTCTCATCTGCCACCACTACTGCTTTATAAGTTCCTACCTTGTTTTGTTAGTTCCAGTGGGAAGATTGAACCAAGTGGAGTTCGTCTGCCATTTCCTCCCTTTGTCTTTCAAGGCACACAGTTCCCCAGGGAGGGGGCCACTGTGGGAGAGGGGTTCTCTTCTATCTTTTTTCCTCCCACAGTGAGTCCATGGAATTTCAGCAGCTTTGTAACTAGTGATTATTAGTGTTATTTTTTTTTTCTGGCCTGTGTGACTTCAGATTTTGGTTGATTGTTTCTTTTTTGTTTTTTTTTTTTGTTTTTAATTAAACTGGGTTTTTTACCCAATTTTATTTATCTGTCCTTACTAATGGAAAAGAGATTGGTTAAAAGTAAGGGGGTGGTAACTCATTTTGGAGTGCCTGCTGCCTTAACTTGTGTTAAACCAAGACAGGAAGATTGTCAAGCCACACTGTTTTACAAGTCTGTAGGTGTGAAGAACAGGGGCAGAGCAAATAATCCGGGATTTAGTTACATAGGCCTTTGATTTGTGTCTTCTTAGCAATCACAACTTCAGCAATTCATATTGATGCATCATCATGCATATTGAAGCTGCAAGTGAGAGAAGTGGAAGATAAAGCTGATGTGGTGCTGGAGTCCCACGGAAAGCTCAGTCACCCTACGGCACCACATCAAGAGTGGGATACACCCAGAAGCAGGGTGATCTGGGATGCGGCTTAGAGCCAAAGCTCTACGGCTCTCAGGTGAAACATCCACAGAATGTGGAGGCAAGGATGAGGAGAAGGCTCTTAGTCCCAGTTCCATGAAAGGCTTATTCTAAGGGTGATGGGACAGAGAACCAAGGAGAAAGAGCGAGCATCAGGGGTGTGTATGGACTTTAAAACATGGGAAGTTCAAGGGGAGAGTACAAAACTGTAACCCATGAGGGGCATCCTGGGGAGGAGTAAAAGTGGGTTTTTACAACAGATTAACCAATGAGGGAGATGAGGGGAGGAGAAGGGGTCACATGGTCCAATGGAGCAGGGAGGAATAAGGGATTTCTAAAGGGGAGGTCCAAGCCGAGGGTGGTACAAAGAGAGATTGGCAGGGAACTTGCTGGAATGAGAGGTAGGTACTGGGGAGAATTGACAACCAAGGGGAGGAGGAACCAGGAATGTTCAGGAAAAAGGGGTGGGATTAGGACCAGATTGACAACTCAGGGGGGAGGTTGCAACTTCAGGGCCAAACTATCAACTCTGTGAAACAGGGGGATACAGAACAGTCTATTAAACATAAAAATGCACTGCAACATCAACCAGATAATAATTATTTACCCCATGAATGCTCATTTTCATAAAATTATTTTTCTCTGAGAAAATATCTGTTCTTTACTTCTATGTCAGTTTGTAAGGTAGAGAGGGAAGACCTGTATTACAGATTAAATTTTTTAACCATGCAGCAACCATCTAAAAAGACACCATTTCAACTCTGACTGTTATAAAACTTTTCCACCCTTTAAATCTCTGTACTAGGCAAAACTAGTTTCTAAATTACTGTGTGTTCTGAACAAATAAAATGACAGAATGTGTATTTCACATATAACTTCTGTCAGCTCAGTGCAAACTGAAGTGGATACATAAATTAGAGGTATTGATTTTAAAATTCTGATTCTGCATGTTTGTAAATGAATAGGGACAAACTACTGCACTTTCCCCTATTTGCTACTATGCCTCACTGCTATTATATGAGTTAATCACAAGCAGTACAATTGGGTAATCTTGATGCGGACACCACATGCACTCTCCTCTGGGCTTTCCCATTTTTGACAACTTTCTATTCTGTAATTACCATTTGGGATGACTCAAGTATGAAAACTACTGGAGAATACAAATTTTTTCCAGCTTGGAGAAAAGCTACCAATAGGACACAGGTATTTATTGTCACAGTACCCATAAAATTCTCTTTCTGAAGAAACTCTTGATCATCAACATCAGTCTTTAGTACTGACATTTACATATGGTAGAAACCTGTTCCTTGAACTTGTAGTGGAGATAAAGACCTCACATTACCTTGTGTGACTGTGTATATATTGTATAAGTATCATCTTACCACTGATGAGAGACTTTGCAAAAGACTTAATTTTCTTGCAATTATGAAACCTGCTTCTGTGAGCTTCAAGTTTTACTTCAGAATGACAGTGGACTGGTTGAAGGTTTAAATAAAGCCTCTTGAGATATTTCCATTTTGTCTTCCTATTATGCTGAATCATTTTCTTTGGGCATCAGTTCTGTGTTGGACCTGCTAGCTCAATCTATCAGATTCTTAACCAGAAAGGACAAGAAAGGCTTTTAGGCTGTATCTACAGCACAGAAGTGTAAAATACAGTAAACCAGAACTTCATGAGCATGCTCCCCCATGGTTTTTCTCTGTTCAAGCATCTACTTAAACTACAGGTTCCTAGTCTATATCTGTTGCACACTTTGGTGCTGAGAACGGGATGCAGGTGGTCTCATGTTGGACAACTGTGATGGGAACATCTTTGAGACTCCTTGATAGACAACAGAAAGTAAAATGTTGTCTAGAATGAGATCTACTGAATCACTTTTAGATACCTGCTTGCCATGACATGAACTGTGTTCAAAAATATCCAACTGACCATAAATGGAACACACATAATTTGATGTAAACACATATGTTGCAAACACAAGATGAGTTTCACCAAAAGATTCACTAAACTGGATCTGATTTGTTTCTGCTCTCAACACCTTTTGTAAATAAAGGCTAGGACACAATACCGGATTTTAAGATATAGTCTAATTTTCTATTGGAAATAAGTGATGATCAACATTTTTACTACAATTTAAATTGTTCATGGAAAATATTGTTGACAATCACTTTTTTCCTGCATCTATTTCTTCTTTGATCTATAAAGGCAATTTCTATGCTGTAATTTTTAAAAGCTTCTCCTAACATGATTTGCAGATGAATAACTATACAAAAATCCAAGACGCTTGCTTAGTTTATTCTTTATTTCAGTTGTCCAAATGCCTTGTTCTAATTTTAAAAGTGCAATTTTATATGCAATTTTCCTATCCTTTTAACTGGGACCTAAACCACTACCTGTAATTAGGTGGTTTATTTTAGACTCATAATTCTTAACTCTCTCATCAAAACTGATGAAACAACTCCAATGTCTGACTCATCATTTGGTTTTCCTATGCAATGCACAGACCTTATTCTCAGTTCAAAGGCCAATTAAGTTTGACCCTAAACAAAGATTCGGGACTGATCTTCATATCAATAAGTTTTGTTTTTCGATGTGATGCTTCTTAATCCCAAAATAGAGAATACAGTTTTCATTTTATACAAAGAAAGTCTCACATTATACACACAACATACATTCACAGAGATCCGTAGTGATGTGTTTTTCTGTTTACAAGTTCAAAATGGTTTGTACCAGTTACCCCATATATATTTGGTTTACCCCAGAATTGTACCCTCCCATTGCCCTGTCCATCCTCCCGAAGACCAAGCCCTTATTCTGGATTCTTCCCTGCTAGTCAGTGTAACCCTGCCCTCCTCTTGTCTGTCATTGTAGCCCTGCCTTTGTTCCTAGAATCTTCCATGGTAATCCTGTACCCCAGGAGACCCCACTGGTTTGTTCAAACTATTCTCCTTCCCTGTTACTCCCCATTGGCTGAAACACTGTATTTCCCCCTTGCGCCCCTCCCCAGGTTTCCTGTAATTGGCTGAAACTTGCGTCCTCCCCTTGTACCCTCCCTCATATATAAGTTGTTGCAAATGTGTGTTCTCTGCGTGTGTTCTCTGTCATTTCCCTCTGGCCCCTCTCAGGATTAAATGTCTTGGAAGCTCATGCAAGTGTCCCCTCTTGTTCCTTTGCCCTGAATCCTAGATGTGGTTTAGAACTGAAAGCCACAGAGAGCAGCCTTGCTGCTTCAGGGTGCCAAACAGCCTTGCTCACACCGCTATGCAAACTGGCCTTTGGGCAGATAGGAAGCAGCTAGTCTTGGCATGGACGCGGAGAAGGGCTAGTTGGAGGGCATCTCCAAGCGGTCACCATGTCAGAGATCTTGGAAAGTACAGGTCTTGTCTGTATTTCTGAGACTAGCCATTGATTTTACTTTAGGTTATAAGGCTTTGTCAGAAAGCCAAGCTGAGGGGGACTTTGTTGCATGCTGAAGTTCTTAGTTTAATCCAACCTGTAATCCTTAACGCACATTCTCTTCTCTAATGTACGTGCAGCTCTGAACTCAGTCTCCCTACTCTACTCCACAGTGTTTGGAGAAAATGCTCCTTTCCCACAGCTATATAAATATTAACTGAAACAGGTAAGTCAAGCTTTCTTTCTTTATTTTCAGTTCTTCTTAAAGTGACACACAGACAGTCAAAGAAAGATGTTGGTGTTTGGCTTTAAATATTGTTGTCCATACCAAGACAATAAATCACAGAATCACAGAATTATTAAGGTTGGAAAAGACCTTTAATATCACATCAAGTCCAAACATCAAACCAGCACTAGCAATGCATTTACTACTAAACCATGTCCTCAAATGTCACATCCACAAGTTTTATTTAACACTTCCAGGGCACTTGGCAGGCTTGAGAGGTAGGCCTGTGCAAAACTCATTAAGTTCAAAATGAGCAAGTGTAAGGTTGAGGCAATTTGGGGTACATTTGGGTTGGGGCAATCCCAAGCACAAGCACAGGCTTGGAAGAGAACGGCCTTGACAGTAGCCTTGTGGAGAAGGACTTGAGGATCTTGGTGGACACCAGCCTCGATATCACTGGACTGTGTGCACTCACAGCACAGAAAGCCAACAGTATCCTGTGCTGCAGCAAAAGCAGCATAGTTCAAAGGTCAAAGAAGGTGATTCTGCCCCTCTACTCTGCTCTTTGAGTTCTCACCTGCAGTAACATGTCCAATTCTTGGGCTCCCAACATAGAAGGGACATGGATCTGTTGGAACAAGTGCAGAGGAAGGCCATGAAAATCATCAGGGGGCAGAAGCATCTCAAAGCTTGTCCTCATCTCAATTTCACTCACAGTCTCTGTATTTTCCAAATCCTTGCTAAGCAATCATATTTATAAGGCTTTCTCATTTCATCTTCCCAACAATCAATATTACCTATTATTTCTTTAGCAGTTATGTCAATAAAATTGTATTTTTGCTGGCAAGCATCAACAAGATCAGCTAATGCCAAATATACTTGGTGATAATAAACTATTTTCAAGCATGGTTTTGAAAAGAATGTTAACAGTAAAAGCAAGAGAAACTCAGAATATATTTTATAAAAGTATGAAACTAATAAAGATTAAAGAAAAGTGCAAGAAAGAAGCACATCCAACCACAGGTATTTACTAGGCAAAGATCAGCAATCCAGCAATATAGTTAAGCAAACCTTCCCAAGCTATGTATCCCATTCTCACAAAGCCTGCAAAATTTCCAAAACATCATTCCTTTCAAGAATGAAAAGGCAACTTTCAATACATCCTGTTCTCAACACTAACAATAGTGGAGGAAGTACAATACCTCAAATACAATACAAAAAGCAGACTAGCAAAAAATTAAGTAAATTAGCTTCCGAACCCTCTTCCTCTTCCCAATACTCTTCTCAACACAATCCCTAGTTACATTAAATACTTCCAATCCCATTTACTGCAGGCTGACAGTACTGTAAGTACAATTCTAATACTTTTGGCTTTTGTAGCACTCCTGTACCGTTCAAGTAGCATTTGGTGAGCAGGGATAATAATAAAGCATCTCTCTTCACTCTTGAATTCAATGTGAAGACTGATGAGAATAAATACGCTGTGTCTTCTACTCAGGAAAATGTAAAAATGTGTCACATGTCATTATATTGTTATGACATTTTATGATCAACAGAATTTTTTTAGTCGAGCTAGCTAAATTACTTCTCAATTGCATAAACTATTTATGAATTAAAAGCAGCAGCAAGGCTATGAGAACTATATCTACTATGTTGTTATAAATTGTCCCTCAGTATAACTGAGCTGTCAGCACTATCTGAGCTTACTGTCTCTGAAGAGAATTTTTTTCTTTAATTTGAAGTTTACTTCTCTTCCACTGAAAACTCAGCTTGGGAGGTAAAATAAGTTGGAAGGGGACAGTTTTCCAAATTTACCAAACTTGAAAAGGAAATGCTTCTTTCATCTTGATACATGAGACCACAGATCTTTTCTCCAAGGATATTTCTTCTCTCAATCTAAAAAAGGACCACAGATGGACCTGCATTTTCCCAGTACTGTTAACGCACTACCGAAAACACTCCATGTTTCATTGTTTCTTTACTGATGGCAAATATAATTCCTGATAGAAGCCCATGCTTTATTTTTATTGGTGATCCATGGGCTAGAGAATAAGCATAGATGCTTAAGTTTCTCATCCCACACCAAAACTCCCTGCTATGTCAGTAAAAAAAGCAAAGCAGAATGAACACTTTATATTGTAAGTATGTTTAGTGATTATCATGTATTACCTATTACATTGTCTCTTTCAGTCTTTGTTTGTGGGGGCTTGTCCTGGAGGGGATAGACCAAGAGCTGGCTACACAGCCACACAGGAGATAATACAAGAGATAGTATTTCAAAAGATATCACAATAGATGATATCCAGGCATCTCATGGTGGGAAGCAAAGGACTCTGGGACCAGTTGGGAGTGGCCATATATATATGTGTAGATATATATATGTGTGTGTGTGTGTGTGTGTGTGTGTGTGTGTGTGTGTGTCTCAGCCCCATGCTGTAGTTCATGTTCATTTCCTTGACTTATTTTATTAAGTTGATTGTTAAGTGGTTTGTTCTGTTACCTTCCAAGTTGGTTTTTTCCTAAGTTTTATCCTCCCTTCCATCTGTCCCTCAAGGGGACAGATCTCTTTATGTTGTATTGTGGTTTTATGTTTATGTTACTGTAGGGATTCTGTAATGGCTCATCCCTGTATCCCTCTCTTTTCCACAATGATTTTGTCCCAGGTTACCCCCTCCTCCTTTGATGTCAATCACGTGAAAAGTGCTAAGTCATTCCCCTGTCTCCTCCTTGGTTCCTTATCCATCACTCAACTCCCCATCCCACCTATCCAGAAGCTTCCACACAGGGCGTCGAGTGATTGGGTGAGGGCCAGGGGTCCCTCCCTCAGACCTTCCCCACAGGGCATCATGCCTGTCTGTTTCCCCAGTGTCCACTCCCTCAAACTACCCCATTGGTTGGTGGGTGATCCCTTCCCCTGTTTACAGCCCCCTTTATATACTGTTGCACAGCCCTGCTCTCAGCTCTTTGCTGTTAGTTCCCCTGAGGTGCGGAGCTCCTCGGAACCCCAGAATAAACCTTGGACTCTAACCCCAGCCAAGAGTCAGCCTCTTCTCTCCTCCACGGATGCCGCCAGCTTCTCCTCCATCCCAGGGCTGGTGACAGCCCTAGCTGCTCTCCAAGGAACAGGGGAGTGTGTCCTGCAGTCGCCCATGCCAGCTAGTTGGGCGAAGACCAGCTTCTGGTGGACATAGTGGTACCTTTATTCCAGACCCTTCCCTGCCTATCAAGGCAACCTTGCCCCTTCTTCCAGAACGTTCCCCGTTACTTACTACCTGGACCAATCCCCAACTGAGACTTTTCTCCTCCCCCTATCCTGGTTGGTTCCTGCCCCTAAATTCCACCTCAAGTGTTACACCATTTACTGTCACTTGATGTGATGTCCACCCCCTGTTTTTGGTGCCTTAAAACCATGTGCACAGAGGTGCTTGGGGCTCTCCTCATCCTGATCCCTCCAACTTCATTAAAGTTTGTTGGAATTTCACAAGTGGAGAGTCTCTTCTTTTTCTGCTTGGTCCCTGCCCTGCTGCTTAAGAACACTGTCCCTCTGCATTGCTGGTTCTAAGGTTCTGCCTTTGGCTTCACCCCAGCCAAGGCAGTTCCCCACACTCGCTGCTCCACTGGAGCAAAGCAGAGCTAGTCTGGGTTCCGGTGTACAGTGGCAGCCCCATTTTGGGTCTTCTGAAGCAGCCTTTTTTTTTTTTTTCTTTTTTCTGGCACCTTTGTTTGTGCCCTTTTATTTATTTAATAAATATCTTTAGTTTTGGCGCTTCAATTGTACCTGTCCTTTTCTTGTAGCCTGCGCCACATGACCATGCCATTGCCAAGCTCCCAGAACCAGTGAGTTTCCCCACACATCCTGCAGATCCCTCAGGGGTGTTGTTGCTGGCCCATCTCCAGCTGATCCACTGCCAGCGGGGTCAGAGATCATCAACAGTCAGACATGCACCTCAACATTTGTCAGCCAGGACAAATATCCCTTACATGTAATCACAATTTCTATTTCTTCTCCTGTTGCATTATTTTCTTACATGCACTGTTCTTTTCCCTGATTTTATCTCCTTTTGTTCCTCTCCAGCTGTTTCATCCCATTCATTTCCAACAGGCCTGAACACTCACAATTTGCTCTGTTCTGTTCATTGAAATGTAATCTGTGATGCAAGTCATGCTAACCTTTTACATGCCATCAGAGAAATCTTGACACAAGATGCAACCTAATGAAATTTGATACTCTCCCAGTAATGGTCTTCCAGACTATCCTTCAGGCTGAGCCACAAGGAAAATGTACTTACTAGTTAATACTTACTTCTGCTTGGAAGGTGCAGAGCCTGAGAGCTAGAAAGTTTGATTCTGACAAATATTGACAACTAAATAAACACATTAAATGAGCACAATTGGACCTTGCAACTGAAAAGGTGACATCACTGAACTGTGCTATTTTGAAGGCACTTAAAACCTCAGTTCAAAAGCTAAAGCTTTCTATATTGGATTTTTAAATTTGTTGATTGTTCTCCCTTGAATGACACTGCTTCACATGTACACATGTGCAATTCCTATATCTTCAGGACTACAAAAAACATCTACGTTATAATCCTGAGGGCTTTTTGGCGTTTTAACTTTGAATTAAGTTCAAGTCTGAAAGCCATATTGAACTGGCTGCATCAGAGCAAAACTATCTACTTCATTTCAGGAAAACTTATATGAAGTATATTTACACACACTCCAGGGTAATGTAAGAAGCAGAAGAGAGATTCGATTGGATATTCCCTTACCTTTCGTTCTATTTCTCAGAGTCTGGGGTGGCATTCCAGGGAGCTGCCATTCATAGAAAAGATGAACCTGGGGACTATTGAGCTATTGAACTATAATAGGAAGGTTATTCGAGACATGGTTGCACCAAGGGCAAGTACGGCTTGACCAATTAAGCGGCCTTTTTGTGATGAAATTATTCCATCAGTGGACAAGGGAAGTGCTACAGATGTAATTTATCTGGACTTCTGTGAACTGTTTGACACATTGCTCTACATCATCTGTCTAAGTTGGAGAGAAGATTCTATGAGTGGACTATCTGGTGAGTAAGGAGTTGCCTGGATGGCTGAATTCGGAGAGTAGTGTTCAGCAGCTCCGTGTCTGGATGGAAACCCATGATGAGTGGTGTCTCTTAAAGGTCTGTATTGGTGTCAGTATTATTTGATGTCTTCATCACTGACATGGACAGTGGGATTGAGTGCACCCTCAAATTTGCAGATGACCCCAAGTGCCAAGGGGTGTGTTTGACACACACAGGGGATGGGATCAGGATGCCATCCAGGGGGAGCTGCATAAGCTGAAGGAGTGAGTTCACAGGTTCACTCCTCATGTTAAAGGTGTCATAAGGTTCAACAAGGCCAATTGTCAAGGTCTGAGCAACCTGAGTCAGCGTAACCCTCAGCATCAATAGAGGCCAGGGGATGAAGGGATTAAGAGCAGTCCTGCCAAGAAGGGCTTGGGGATACTGATGAGCAGAAAACTAGACATCACCCAGCAATGTCTTCTTGCAACCTAGAAAGCCAAATATACCCTGGGCTGTTTCAAAAGAAATGTGGCCAGCAGGCCAAGGGAGATGGGTCTACCCCTCTGGTGAGACCCCACCTCAGGTACTGCATCTGGGGTCCCACCTCAGGTACAGTTCTGTTGTCCTCAGCACAAGACAAATGGTCCTTTGGTGTGGATCCAGAGGAGGACCACAACAATAACCAGAGGGCTGAATCACATGTCCTGTGAGGAAAGGCTGAGAGAGGTGAAGTTGTTCAGCCTGGAAAAGAAGACTCCAGAGACACTTTCTTTTGGACTTCCAATACTTAATGAGAGCTTAAAAAAAGATGGGGACAAACTTTTGAGCGGGCAAACAGGGTCACAGCAGTTTGTGCAGCAGTTCGTGCAGGAAGGGCAAGTAGGCAGGACTGCAGGTTCTTGCTAGTTAGGTGAGGTGTTTTTATTGGTTATTTGATTTTGGGCTTTCTCCTAGCAATTGTTTTAACCCGGTCGAAATCTGTGTTTGGTACAAGTGTATGTGACCAAGTGGAGCCCTCCAAAAAGGATGTGTCTGTACAGACCCATTCATGCCTGGAGTGTTTGAGCTTATCCACGGTTTCAGGGGGTGTTGTGGAGGAGGCCTGCATACGGTGTGAACAAGTGAACAACTCCTTTCGCTGGTGGCTGAGCTTGGGGAGGAAGTTGAAAGATTAAAGAGTATCAGGGATAGTGAAAGGGCAATAGACTGATGGAGTTCAGCCCTTATATCTTTAAGGGAGGCTCGCCAAGAGTCAGAGGACTCATATGCCTCTTACTCTCAGGCAATAGAGGGGCACCTAGTAGATGAAGGGGAGCGGAAATGTGTCCCTGCTTGGGGAGGTAGTAACAAAAATCCCTCCTGTCCCCCATGCCCTAGGCAGGTGCCCCTTCAGAATAGGTATGAGGCCCTGGATCTAGAGAGTCAACCAGATGATTTAGAAGAATATTATCTGCCCAGTGAGCCTCCCAATTATGACTCGTCTAAAAAACTGATTACCACTTCTAACATCAAGAAGAAAAGAAGGGTTATTGTAGTGGGTGATTTCCTTCTGAGGGGGACAGAGGGCCCCGTATGTAGACCAGACCCATCCTACAGGGAAGTCTGCTGCCTCCCTGGGACCCAGGTAGGAAATATCATTGAGAGACTTCCTAGGCTGATTCATTCCTCTGATTATTATCCACTGCTGATACTCCAGGCTGGCAGTGATGAGATTGAAAAGTGGAGAGTCAAGGTGATTAAAAAGTTTAGGGCACTGGGTCAAGTGGTTGATAGGACAGGTGCACAGGTAGTGTTCTGCTCAGTCCCTTTGGTGGCAGAAAAAAATAATGAAAGAAATAGAAGATCTCACATCATTAACTAGTGGCTCAAGGGTTGGTGTCATCAGCAAAATTTCAGATTCTTTGATCATGGGGCAACCTTTACAGCACTTGCTCTACTGGAATCAGACAGGATACATCTCTAAGGGCAGGAGGTTTTTAGCTCATGAACTGGCAGACCTTGTCGAGAGGACTTTAAAATAGGTTTGAAGGGGGAAGGGGATGCATCTGGGCTGACTGGAAGTAGGCCCAAGGATGGTAAGACTGTGTGAGGGGAGAAATCAGTAGCCCATCTGAGGTGCATGTATACCAATGCACGCAGCCTGGGTAACAAACAGGAAGAGCTGGAGGCCATCGTGACACAGCAGAACTATGATGTAGTCAACCATCACAGAAACGTGGTGGGATGACTCATATAGTTGGAGCACTGCACTGGATGGCTACAAGCTCTTCAGAAAAGGGAAAAGAGGCGGAAGGACCCTTTATATTAGGGGGGTTTTGGATGTCATAGGTATTGAAACTAATGACAATGAAGTTGAATCCTTATGAGTAAGAATAAAAGGGAAAGTCAACAAGGCTGAAATCCTAGTGGGAGTCTGCTATCATCCACCCAACCAGGATGAAGAGGTAGATAACTTATTCTATAAGCAACTGAACAATGTTTCAGGATCATCAGCCATTGTTCTTGTAGGTGACTTCAACCTACTAGACATCTTCTGGGAACTTAATACAGCAGAAAATCAGCAATCTAGAAAGTTTTTAGAATGTGTGGAGGATAATTTTTTGTCACAACTGGTGGGCAAGCCCACCAGGGGTGGGATTATGTTAGACTTGTTCACAAATAGAGATGGACTGGTGGGTGATGTGGAGGTTGGAGGCCGCTTGGGGCACAGTGATCATGAAATTATAGAATTCCCGATAACTGGTGAAACAAGGAGGAATACAAATAAGATCTCTACATTGGACTTCCAGAGGGCAGACTTTGGCCTATTTAAGGGACTTACTCAGAGAGGCCCTTGGGAAACAGCCCTTGAAAACAAAGGAGTCCAGGAGAGATGGGTGTGCTTCAAAGCAGAGATCTTGAGGGCACAAAAGTAGACTGTCCCTGTGTGCCAAAAGATGCGTCAATGAGGCAAACGTCCAGTCTGGATGAGCAATGAGGTTTTGAAGGAACTTAGAAATAAAAAAAAGATGTACCATCTTTTTAAGGAGGGACAGATTTCTCAGGAAGTATTTAAGGGAGCTGCTAGGGCATGTAGAAAAAAATTAGGGAGGCCAAAGCTCAGTTTGAACTTAACATGGCAAGTTCTGTTAAAAATAATAAAAAAAGTTTTCACAAATATTTTAATGATAAAAGGAAAGGTATAACCTACCTCTGTTCCTTATTGGATGAGGCAGGCAACCTAGTAACTAAAGATGAGGAAAAGCCAGAAATGCTTAATGCCTCTTTGCCTCAGTCTTTAGTGGTAAGACAGCTTGTCCTCAAGACAACTGTCCTCAGGGGTTGGTAGGTGATGCCAGGGAGCAGAATGGTCCTCTTGTTATTGAAGAAGAGGTAATCAGAGAACTGCTTGGACACTTGGATATTTATAAATCAATGGGACCAGATGGGATCCACCCTAAGGTGATGAGGGAGCTGGCAGATGAGCTTGTGAAGCCGCTCTCCATCATTTATCAAGAGTCATGGCTCACTGGTGAGGTTCCAGATGATTAGAAACTGGCCAATGTGACACCCGTTTATAAAAACAGTAGGAAGAAGGATCCTGGTAATTACAGGCTAGTTAGCCTGACCTCAGTACCATGTAAGATAATGGAACAGTTCATACTGAGTGCTATCACACAGCACTTAGAGGATGGTCAGGGTATCAGACCCAGTCAGCATGGGTTTATGAAGGGTAGGTCATGTCGGACCAACCTGGTCTCCTTCTATGACCAGGTGACTCGTCTGGTGGATGCAGGAAAGACTGTGTATGTTGTCTATTTAGACTTCAGCAAGGCCTTTGATACTGTCTCCCACAGCATACTCCTGGAGAAGCTGAAGCCCATGGCTTGGACAGGAGCAGTCTTCGCTGGGCTAGGAACTGGCTGGATGGCCAGGCCCAGAGAGTGGTGGTGAACACTGCTGCATCCAGATGGGGACAGTTACCAGTGGTGTCCCTCAGGCATCTGTACTGGGACCAGTTCTATTTAATATTTTTATAGATGACATGGATGAGGGTATCGAGTCCTTAATTAGTAAATTTGCAGATGACACTAAACTGGGAGCTTGTGTGGATCTATTGGAAGGAAGGAGGGCTCTGCAGAGAGACTTAGATCAGTTGGATGGATGGGCAGAGTCCAACAGCATCAAGTTTAATAAATCTAAGTGCCGA